TATAGACTGGTTGGTCGGAATTCCAATATAATGGGTACATATTCGACAGGTGAGAGTAGCCGAACAACCACGAGTAGTAATAGAACGAGTAGACTCGATAAGATGATAGCTAAAAGACATGTCTTGAAGACTAGAACACGGAAAGGAGAACAATCAAAAGCAGGGTTAAAGTCCGGTGCCGGGCGGTTATTTTAGCCAAGGCTTATACCCTTTGCAATGAAAGAACGTGCGGGACCAGAGAGAAACAGATCAGCATAAGAAGGAAGTCATGAACCAGCCGCATATTCCAATTGGGTAACACCAGTGGTCCCACTACAAACGCCCAATTGAAAAAAGACTAGCAGAGATTACAAAGTAACTGGAAACCGCTAGATTATTTTACCGGGTTACACAGTGGTGTGAAGATTACCCAACAAGATATAAAGCCCACCAGCAGGCACAGCTGGAAGAGACAACAAAACAGTTTCTGACAATCAACTCACACCGAAGCCCATGAAGACGTATCAGGTTAGCTGTTGGAGCAGGTTCGGCACCAGCTAATATCCAGGAACGCATGGATACGATAATATGTGGCTTGAGAGGTGCGAGGTATTACCTGGGTAACATCATTCTTACAGGTGGAAGTGATGAAGAACACTGAGATTCGGGAATGTGCTTTAGAGAATGAGACACTATGAATAGAGCCAAGTCGGGTTTTAGGCAATATTGAATGGAGTAACTCGGGTTCGGGATTGATGCAAAAGGATGTAATCCATCGCACAACAGGTTGGAGGCGGTGACAATAGGAGTTGCATCAGATATATCACGTCTGCAGTGAAGCATCTAGCCTTGGATAAGGAGGTTGAACGATTTCTCCAGATGTTCAACAATGCCATGGAGAAACTCAGGGCAGAGTAAGGTGACATCCACCGTTGTGTGTCCAAGTGTCTCCTACAGGAATTCCTACTTAACCATGCCACACGTAAACACCCTGGAGATCTAAGTGAAGTGCTTCATTGGTAGGGAGGTGCGAACTCGTTTCAGTCAAGTCAGATAAGACTTGGGTGTTCATCTAACAAAGGAAGAGACATAAACAACAGTACTAGAACATTTCAGGTTAGAGAACAAGTGTCTGTGCTAGACATAATGGTCAACACCGGGAAATCATCACCTATGGTATTAGGGCCAGTTATCACCTACCTACAAGTCTTATTGACTATATTTCATAGAAACGTCATGTTTATCAGATTAGAGCATTATTCATGTTGATCCAAGCATACCATCTAGCGCAGGAACAGAGGAAATCTGTGGAACCCACTTCCACACCCAGTCAGTCAATATCAATGTTAGGAAGAACAGGTGATTAACCTAGACAGGCTACACAAAATACCCATGGGTCAAAGGAACAGCATAACAATTTTAGATCTAGAGAAACTAAACACATTGAACATCAAACAAATAAACGCATACCAACACTGAGACGTTCAAAGCGTACTATCAAGTAACCAGTACGATTGACTTTGTAAAGAGATTAGGTTAGAAAAAACTATTGCTGAGAAGGTACTGTAATAAATCAAGTTAAGCTGTGGACACACTACGCGATTTTTCATGCGGTCGAGCCGGCCGGCTCGATCGCATGAAAAATCTCCTAGTGTGTCCACCCCCTTTAGCTAGTTGTGTGAGTCTCATTCAAGGTTCGACATGCGTGTACCAGAGAACTTCTCTTCAATGTAATCAAGTTTATACCCATGATGAACAAAATGTATAGTAAAATGTTGTGACTCAAAACGGTTTTACGTTGAAAAACAGGAGTCTGGTGTAGCGTCGTCTATAACAGGAATAAGTGCACGTAACTGGAAGTGCAAATATCACCTATGCATTGTACTTTACTTTGTGGTGTGAAATGTATTCTGTACCTGTATATGCGCCAGATATATACCTGATCGGGCACTTGATTAATGCCAGTGTCAACACACCAGCTGTGGAAGTATTAAAACAGAGGAGTGTGTAAACTGATCATTACAACCTTGCAATAAAGAGTTCACATCAGTCACCAATCACTGATTTATTCCACAATTGGCAAGTGGACAAGTGGACTACATGCTGTTATCAGCAGCCATGGCATATTTCATAACCCCGACGCCTACCGGGTTAAGTTTCGAAACGCACACAAGGAATGCACAGAAACGTTCAAAGATTATACGTAACAGTCCGGCTAGATTCTTATTTCCGCCGCTGGCTGGAGCCCTCAAATGGGCTAGCTACTTCTGCGGAATTTCAAAGGGTGTATTTCCTTCTCATAAGGGACCAGTTCCTGGCTACTATCAACGACGACTATCTAAAGAAGAGGTTGTTAGACCACCAGTTTGTGCTATACCAGACTTGGCACGACTAGGCGGTGACTGTCATGTCGAGGTAACCGAATGGTGTACGAGGGATTCCATCCTCGATCAGCCACCGTGCTTTTTGGAAGAGATTACTGCCGCCAGACTGGGTTGGTAGAACACCAGTTCGTGCTATACCAGACTTGGCACGACTAGGTGGTGGCTGTCATGTCGAGGTAACCGAATGGTGTACGAGGAATTCCATCCTCGATCAGCCACCGTGCTTTTTGGAAGAGATTACTGCCGCCAGACTGGGTTGGTAGAACACCAGTTCGTGCTATACCAGACTTGGCACGACTAGGTGGTGGCTGTCATGTCGAGGTAACCGAATGGTGTACGAGGAATTCCATCCTCGATCAGCCACCGTGCTTTTTGGAAGAGATTACTGCCGCCAGACTGGGTTGGTTGTGAATTATGCGACCAACGGCTACTGGATTGAAGGGACACACCCCCTTATTCAGTGGCCTTTGGTGTCTTCTGAGTTATCAGACCACTCCTGACCAATCAGATAAAGACCAGATAGACACATACCTCCCAGAGAAGTTTAATGTGGCCATGGTTTCAGACAGTGACCTCACTGGTAGCCAGCAGGATCTGATGAACAGTTTGCTCAGTTCTAATGCCAACGTTCTTAGTGACAAGCCAGGGAGGACAGATTGGTCTAAGCATTACATCCGATCAGGCGATGCCTCCCCCATAATACCTATGCCTTACCGCCTGTCTCCATTGAAAAGAGAGGCTCTCAAACAAGAACTGCCACCTAGTAAGTAGTTATCCCTGCCACCTTTCAAAAAACGTTGCTGGAGACATTGCATTCCCGACCTACTGCTGGTCACTTCGGTCGCACAATGACTCTTCGTTGCCTCAGGGATTACGCTTGGTGGGCAGGCATGGGACAAGCCGTCCGTAACTTTGTCAGAGCATGCCCTACATGTATAGCAGTCAAACAAGCGCACCAGAAACCGGCAGGGAAGATGTTTTCAACATCCAGCAATGAACCCTGGGAGTTTCTCAGTGTTAACCTCATGGGTCCTTTTCCACGCAGTGTAGTAGGCCATGAGTCTGGTGGTTGTGGTTGACCGTTTTTCGAAATTCACCAAACTACTTCCGTTGATAAAAACAATGGGGCGGCTGTGGCTTCTACGTTGTGCTGCCATATATTTTGTCGCTAGGGGGCTCCCAAGAAGCTCTTGCCTGATAATGGCAAGCAGTTCCGGTCTCGCGATATGGAAGCCATATGCCAGGACTGGGGCATTCGACAAGTGTTCGCAAACCCAGATAGATCTATTATTCTACCAACCGAATGAACTTATTTAATGAAATACCCATCTGCCGGTAATAACGTTGGTCCCGAGGAGCCAAAAGAGTAGACTCTGCTGTGGGGAGCCACACAGCCGAGGGGGAGTCCAACAGTTCACTCTTATCTAGAGCGGTAGGTACGTGTCCAGAAGCCATTGTATGCCTTGGGGGTATTGAGGTACGAGGCCTGCTTGATACTGGTGCACAAGATCATAGGTGCCTGTCAACCCAACATGACTTGGTGGATGCACTGAAATTTACAAGAATATGCGCAGCAAATGGTCAGGGCATACCCTTACGGGGCTATGTTGAGTTGGATGTGTCGGTAGCTGGTCAGATTTGTTCTAATCTACACTCTCTCATCGTAGCTGATCCAGTTGACCCAGCTACACGAAAGAGAAAACAAGAAGTGCCTGTTGTCATTGGGTACAACGTTTTCAGAGACATGAATAACTATACTTGCTGAATAAGTTACTGCTATCGCCGTGGAGACAGGTATTAGACCTAGATGAAGAGACGAGGGCTGTTAAGGCACCGGAAGTTTGCAGAGTGCAGGTAGCAGGGCATAAACCAGTTCTCATTCCAGCCCGCTCGCTATGAGTGGTTGAAGGGACAGTTCGCCCAGCAGATAAGGGCCAAGTTTACCAAGCACTAATACAGGAACAGGATGTTTCTATAGCGCCTTTCCCTACTGGATTAGCTTTAGGCCATGCATTAGTAACGGTTACACCTAAGTGAATAGTGCCAGTACAGATTGCTAATTTTAGTGAGCGTGATATATACCTCTCCCACAGAGTTTTGGTTACATCTTGGTTTAGCGGACTTGTCATATGTCATGGAGTTGCAATAAAGAGCCGACGAACAAGGAACAGAGTATTCTGTGTTTCCTTTCATATATATAGATGCATAATTGCTTTAAAATTAGGTACATGAGCACAATCATTCAGTTATCGCACTCAAACTGGTCATATGTAGTGATATAGACCCATGGAATATTAGTATATAGTGGGGATATTTAGTGCACGTTGCACAGCTAAACTTAACCAAATGTACTGACGTCATTCAATTACAATGAATATCAGCTCGCAACAACAAATGCCTGTGACCTCAGAATTATACATGGTATACAGAAGTTTTTTGTCATTCTACATTTTATAATGGCGTGACCAATCGCCACTTTTCATAAGTAGAGCTAGGAAAGATGTATACGCTAGCATTCCAGGTCCCAGAACTATGGTCGATAGAAAATAGCTTTGGCCCTCTATACATTGGAGGGAACGAATTTGCCTTACAAATCCATTAAGGTACCCAATTTCCAAACATGATAAATAATTCTAATTACCCAAAGATCGCCATCCGGCCACATAATTATTCAGCTTTCATGAAACAATTCTCGTGAAAACTAAGTGTGACAACATCTTTAGCAGCACCTAGACAATGTAGTGCTCTCCCGTAGACAGGTACACACATAGAAGTTTTCTCACCGCTGCGACATATAATTTTATACATGTAGTGAATGCGTGATTTAAATTAAGTTAAAAATAAATATAATTTTGTCTGATCGACCACTACTGACGTGTGTATATGTCTACACGGGATTATGACACCAGTATGCTCTGTCTCTCTCCTCGTGAACTTAACCAAACACCGCACGCATTACCCAAGACATGGATATGACAATGCCTAGTCACTGTTGGGCCATAAACACATTCCAAGTAACATTTATATCATTGTCACTAGTGCTTTTTCTCTAGAACCAGCCCCGTTAGAAGTTTGTAAACCTCTTTCACTGTGTAAATTAGGTATAGATGTAGTATATTACCTCTGTGTGCACCTGGTGGCACAAGTTAACTGATAGGCATGACATGGATGGCCATGCTTGTGCCATGCCAGCTATGCTATCTGTCAGGTGTCTCCTGATTTCATTATTACATATCAGCTGTGCTGGTCCACTAAGTATTGGCATCAAACTTAACGAGTTAAGAGATTCACCACTGTTTTAGATGTCATAGAACTGGTTGGTAGAACCACTGTAGATCCAATATTATAGAGGTAGAGATGATGACCTATTTATTTATGTCTGATGCTGTAACTAGTGTGACTAGGGTTCCACCACTGTTTATCACGTTGTAGAACTCACACATAGCTTTCTTCACCTTCTCCGGATATCGTTTGTTTATCATTTGCACCGGACCATGCAGCCATAGAATGCCTGGGAAAAACAAAGCACAGAAATAATGAAGTTGGTATTTGCTGATGATATTAAACTCTGCAACAATGTATTTTACAAAATCAAACCTAAATTACCTCAATAACCTAAAGCTAAATTACTGCTACTTACAGTTGATGTAACCCTCAGCAAAAATACATTACAGAGAAGACAAACATATAAACGTAAATAGTGTATTTGAGAAAACCCTGGTGAAAAGCAAAACGTTGCTTCTTTTGGCACACGTAGTGCAAATAATAAGAGTGGCTGCTACTTCCAACATGATAACTGTCATGGTTGAACAATTTATCCCCACATGGCTACAATATACTTACTTTCCTATAGGTGAGAGGATGCACGACATCATGGACAGGTGACAGAGGCATGCACAGAATTTTCTTTGGCACTTTTAGCTGCCGATTCAGGCAAGTTACCACCCTGTGCCGCAGTACTAAAAGAAATAGTTGTACACTAATATCACCATGCACAATAGTCTCATAGACAAGATAAAATCAACACACATGCTCATGTGATGAATAATATCCTCCCTACTACAAGTTTCTGAAACTAGAACCATACACCTAATATAATATTTCAGGTCAATACAACAAAATTGTTTACACAACCTCACCCCCTGTGATAGCCTCATCGTGAAATGTTAACCCTACATTACTCTGTAACAGATTACCTTCTACAAATCCTTAAATTATTTGCACTTGCCTGTTGGCTGTTAAAAGCATGTGTCTGGTGTTCTTCATAATATTTTATTCTATGCTCTTTTACTAATATAGTAATTTTCAAATGTGCAGATTACAACTAAGAGTTTAACATAATAACCAAAACTACAGCCAATAATACTCATAGCCGATGCACAGTAAGTAATACGACTTACCTCACTGTTTGTGCAAGCACCTGTGGCACACTGCCAACATGTGGGCAACTAGTGTGGTCCCCATTAGACAGTAATGGATGAGCAGGAGATGCGTTGGCACTACTGCTGTCTTCGTGTGAACAGTTCTCACTGTCACCACACTCGGTATGCCTGCAAACGTACATGGATACCTAAATCTCACTTTAGACTTCCAGCTTGCGTGTAATGGGAGACTACACTGCAACCAGGTTCTCACTCTACATTCCAAGTATGCATGCAACTGTAGCTGTTAGGATCTATGTCTCCCTGGGTACTGCCGGAACGTACCCTGGATACAGTCCGGTATACCGGAACGTACCCTGGTAACTATCTGATATGGTTAGGGTTAGGGTTAGGGTTAGGGAGGGAGTAGGCGTAGGCGACTCCCTAGACTCGTTAGTGGAGTAGGCGAGGAACAGTCCGGCATATTAGATAGTACCGGGGTACGTTCCGGTATACCGGACCGTACCCAGGAAGACATAGACCCTGGAAGCGCAACTGTACATAGTTATGCAATTCTCAGTCCCTCCCAGCATGGCTACAGCCCTACCATACCTACTAGGAACATTTGTCCTGCGTATTGTACACACCTACTAAGTGGAGATACAATGTCATTGTTGTCATCCTCATCACCACTGCTCTCATCTGGTGCAACGAACACAACCTTGAGCTCTATCTCCCCTTGCTGAAAAACAAGTGAAACATACATTGCTTTAATACAGCAGGCATTGATGGATAAATGTGAGGCACATCCTACTAATATATACACTCAACATATTTAAGGGGGTCTGGTGCCAGCTTCACTCAGATAAAATCAGATAAATTTATTAGTTATAAAAAAATATGTATATATATATATATGCATTTCAGAAGATTAAATTTAAAAATCCATGTTTGAATAACTGTTAGTAAACATGTGCAATTTTAAATAGCAACAGATTGGATGCCACACTGACGAACCTGCTGTGATAACACTTGAACTGCTTGCGAGTGTTTTGTATCTTTCAGATCAATGCCATTCACTTCCAAAATAGCATCCCCAATATAGAGTCCACGACAACGGTCAGCTGGCTGTCCCTCATGGATTTCTGAGATCAAAATGGGGACTCCGTGCTCACGACCTCCCTTAAAGCACAAGAAACACATTTTCCCCTAGTAAGGCATACAAATAAACTGGACAGTGCACTAATTACAATCTACTGACTCTGTAGTATCGGCAAAACAGTTTAGGTATTAATCTGTGTTCAGCTGCGTACCCCAAAAACAACTGTAAATAACTGCATTATATGATCATTAGACCTGTAAGAGACATATCTACAGGACTCCAAGACATCTGTCTAAAACACACTAGGGATCTTCCAACAATTTTCTCTATTGTCCAGCATACTTATGCAATAGTGCCTACTACAATACTTACAGTTATAGACATTCCAAGACCTTCGTCAATGCCCTTGATGAGTGTAACTGTACGTTCCTCACCTATTCCTTGCCTTTTTCGAAGCCTCTGGAGATCCTTCATAATTCAAAAAGAGTTAGAACAAAAAGGTCTTTACCACTACTTAAAATTTAGGTATACAGACATATATCCTACATGTTCTCAGGGAGACATGATATACATACAGAGAAAAAATTACTTTTTTTTCACGGGAGCTCTTTTTCAAGTCTGTGGAAAAAATAGCTCTCGTCCAAATTTTTACGGGAGCTATTTTGAGCATCACGGGAGCGATTTCAGAGGTTTGAAGAGCGAATCGCTCATCGTTCCCGTGTATTTTTTACCCTGCATACATATACTGCCATATGTATTTTTTAAACCTCCGCAATGTGTTAATGGGCTTTACATGATATGTAAGTAGGACCTACATAGAGCCACAATGTGACAGTGCTCATGAGTTCTGTGGTAAAGGAAGAATATGGATGTTGGAGCAGGCAACTGAGAATAGGATGGAAATGATGGTCTTTGACACTAAACATAGCCATGTTCAGACGTTTGTATACGTGTACGTGAAATTATATCAATGGAAATTCTCGCAAGATGGCACGTGCAAGTGTAAGCATCAGCCAACATTCGCCATCTTGATTTTATGATGTTCGGGTTTCCCAAGTTGAGACAAATTCGGTCGATTTAGATGCATAGCAAAGCAGAAATACGGTATTGATCACGATGCAATAACTGGCTACAGATTTGCATATTACTAGCACACGACAGCCAAAAGTTGCCGAGCTGTGACAGATTTACGCCAGCAATACATCTGCATTGCAAAACAAGACATATGCTGGGTGCTATGATATATACAGCAGCTGAGGTAGAGAATGCATCTCATACAAATAATACTTAAATTATAAATAATAAATTTTAAGGGAAATTTAGGAGAAGAGTAGGCAATTCCCATGTTGCCAAGCCAGTTATAGGAACAGAAACAAAATCCAGACTCTTTAAATGCACACGGTAGGTACTTACATGGCATGGGGGAACTGGAAGCTTCTTTTTGAGGCTCTTTCGTCCCCTGCAAGCTCTAATTACAGTTTTGTGCCGGTGAAGGTGAATCTCAGCCTCCAACTGATTCCACAGCCTGTCATGCTCGCTACCTCTCATGTCTCTGCCCAGCAGTTGTATTTGTTGAATTCTACAGCATTGAGAACATTTATGTCATCATTTAAGCTCATTCAGCTACTTTGCTACATTGTAGGTCAACCTTTCTATTCATACACATCAGGCACTGCAGATGCCTGCAGATTAACGTTGGACTAGGCTTCCTAATGAATATTTGATGGGTAAAATATGCTCTAGATAGTAGACTTGTGCTATTTTTTGATTGAGCTAAGCGAAGCAGTTCCATACATGTTCATAGTAAACTGTGCTACATCTCTTTATAGGCTATAAATGGATTGGCCAGCTATTGATAGTGTTGCATTACACTCTCCTGTTGGCTTGCACCAGTAAGGCCCACAAGTGTACTCAACCAAATCTGATGCAAAGCATTTTATCGACATAGTATGCTTATAAGTGCATAACGATTACTGCTTGCATATATAATTGACTACACATTTGTACGTTTCTGCAACAGAAAATGAAAGTGTCAATAACACTGTAGCTCACCTTGGGTGTGATAGAAGAGGGAGGAGGGATATATAAAGCAAGAGTATATATATATGGGAGAACTACCATTATATAGCATATCTCCCATTATATACTCTTGATAATGATATATGCATAAGTTTTGATACAAAAATAAATGTTTCAGATCTGAAAGTCTGAAATCTTGACGAGAGATGGTGCTACGCCTAAAAAAATTTGCACAAGGGAGAGATAGTGATCCGCTAGGGAACGGCTCTGATTGGCTAATTTGGTCTCTTATTTAATTTTATTATTTTTTGCTAATTTTGTTTTATTTTAGAATTAGGGTTAGGGTTAGGGTTAGGGTTAACTGATTTCTATGTCCACAACACACTAATAATGCGCCATCTAGCGGATCACTATCTCTCCCCTGAGACCTACTAATGCCTAAATGATCGCCATTTTGGTTTTCGAATATCGCGCAAATAAAAACAATAAAATATTCCAGTCAAATTACTGTAACGAAGAATCTAAAACACAATATTACACGTATATAGGTATGATTGTAGAGTTGTTAACCAGTTAGACGAAATAACGTAATAGGGCGTTGTCATCCCTCCCATGAAGG